GAAAATGTGACGTGATATTATTTGGTACATGCATAGCTACGTTTAGTGCCAAGCTCGTAATACTCCCCCTCGTGTTACGAAAGGACAGTTAAAGTCAATTGTAATTTCCCGTCTGTTTGAGTTGGTGGCATTTGATCTTATGGGACAGTCGACTGCTGGCAATGACTATATTATTATTGTTTCTAACTACTTGACTCATTGGGTGGAGGTTGGTGCTCTTGCTAGCGCCTTTGCAACTGCTATTGGATACTTCCTTCTCAATCGAGTGGTGTTCCAGCATTTTTGTTCAGAGGGGATTCTTTCAGATAATAGTCCCGCATTTATGGCTGAGGCATTTCATGTTTTGACGTCTCAGTTGGGGATACGCCACACTTTCACGAGTGCTTATTATCCACAATTAGACAGTCTGGTGGAACACCTCATCCAAACATTCAAAGGGATGATTGCGAAGTATGTGAACTTTCAGCATTTGGATTAGGATGGTTATTTGCTGTCTCTTCGGTATGCATATGTCACAGGGGTGCAGAGTTTTGTTGGTGCTTCACTATATAAACTTTTATATGGTCATGATCCAATATTACCAACAGTTTACTTTTGCGATTGCCACGAGCTGCCGATGCTAGGTCATGGGATCAGTATTTAACCAACATTCTTCCACTTGTCCGAGTAGAGTCTGCTGAGCACTTAGGCTGTATACAAGTGGGACAACAACGGCATTACAACTCCCATTATAGTCCACCTGCAGAGTATAAAGTGGATGATTTAGTGTTAGTCCTTTTTCCCCATTTTATGGTACGTGGTTCATCTAAAGGGCTCCTTGTGCAATGGAAATGACTGTATTGGGTGTTGCGGCAAGTTGGACCACAAGTTTATGAGGCTTGGCATAACGTCTAGCAAGCCAATTCTCTAAAGATTGTGCATGTGCAGCAATTGAATATGAGACACAAAATCCCTAGGCCCCAAAGTGGAGCCGGAAAGGTGCCACATGGTAGTGGCCGAAGCGAAAGCTAAATAAGCGTAACACATTTGGACCAAAAGCTCCGACTTGAAAAGTTGAGAGCAACAGTGGAACTCCCAACAAAGTGCTCGAGGAACGAGCACGAAGCGAGAAATAAGCGAGGCTCCAAAAGAGGGACCCAAAAGGACCAACACATGACACGTGGAAGTGTCCAAGATGGACCCGAGTTGGAGTCCGAGGTGGAGTCCGAGATGGTGTCCGAGATGGACCCGAGATGGAGTTCGAGATGGACCCGAGTTGGAGTCCGAGATGGACCCGAGATGGAGTCTGAGATGGACCCGAGTTCGAGTCCAAGATGAACCTTAGTTGGAGTCCGAAATGGAGTCTGAGATGGAGCCCGAGATGGACCGAGACGAAGTCCGAGATGGAGTCCGAGATGGACCGAGACGGAGTCCAAGATGGAGTCCAAGAGGGATCCGAGATGAAGTCCGAGATGGAGTCCGAGATGGACCCGAGATGGAGTCCAAGGTCAAGGCCGAGACCGGGACCGAGACCAAGACCGAGACCGAGACCGAGACTGAGATCAGGACCGAGACCGAGACCGAGGCCAAGGCCGAGACTAAGCTCGAGCCCGAGTCCGAGTCCGAGTCCGAGTCCGAGTTCGAGTCTAAGAGGGTGAAAGCCCAAAGCGTTCGTCTCCCAGACCCTGGGGGGTTTGGTGAGCTCCAAAAGTATAGTAGGGGGAGGACTGCAGTGGAGCTAGTTTGGCCAGAAAAGGTTAGTTTGGCCCAGGAAGGCTGTACCCAATGTTGGGTGATGAGCTGCCCACTGGGAAGTCCAAGACTAGAGTGAATACAGACCGACAAGCGGGGTAGCTTAGTGAAGTGTTCAAGAGCCGGCTCTAGTTCCCCCGGGAGATCGACTGGCCGATGCTCCCAATCCAAGTGTGGGTGGCACTACCTACTTGGATACCTAGCGTGGCTCAATAGAACCTCGCTCTAAGCCCATGGCTAGAGCACCTAAAAGCGGAAGGCGGGGAGAGTACCCATGAGGCCCGCATAGGGCCACGGTGTTCCGAAATGTTGTCCCAAAATCCCCGTTTGTGGAAAGGAAAAAGAATAGCCCTCTAGTGTGGTGACCAAGGACACAGTCACATAGTGAGGAAGTCCTAGAGGACATTGCGACATAGTGGTCAGGCCCGTGGGCCATGATCCAATGGCAGTGTTAGCAAACATGGCCAAGGACAGAAAGGAACTTGGTGGAGACCGGAATGGAGACATTGGGGAAGGCTATTCCCTATGTCTATGGGCATCCTAAGGATGCTAAGGAGTGGATCTGGGATGACCACTCATGGGTGAATGACCCAGTCTTGGAGAGACGGGATTGCAATGCAGGTGGTGTTAGACCACCGATGTGACCAAGGTGAATGAGCGTGGCCTAGCGTAACGGGCTCATATGTCAGTGGTACCTTGGGGTGTTGGTCATGGGATCGGACACGTGGTGCACTTGGACCAAGTGCAAAGGTTGAGTGGCATGGACGCCATTCTCGGGGCTAGCAAGCCCCAAGTCATGAATGGGCCTTATGGAGGTTGTGAATGAGACTCCTCCAAATGGTCGGAAATGCAGTTAAGTGATTAAAGGAGAATGGAAAAATTAATTGCTTACATTAAAACGCTTTATACAAAGGGATTAGGAGTAGTTAATACCACTTATAGATCTACCAATGTCTCCTCCTAACGTTCCTCTAGATCCTGGCTCATCTACAAGAGAACCTTGATGGTCTTCCATTATTCCGAAAAGAAGGGATGATGTGAGGGCCAAGTGTACGGCTACAATGCTATATACTAATATTAGTGTAGTGAGATTTTGGTAACTGTCAGATTGGTTTCAATCCGGATCACTTGCTTTTAGATATAAGTTAAGGTTTTTTGGGCTAATGGATATGCATATTTTTTATATTCCCTTTCCATATTCCAAGCACTCACAAATTATATTTTTCAATTAGAAAAGCTTAATTGCCACATAGTAGTATTTGTTTCAATTTGAGATGAATGAATTTAAAATTCATTAAATTTTTTTTCTAAAAATATTTTATTTTTGGTTTAGATAAAGACTTCAAATTTCCGAAATAAACATGAGGAAGAAAAAAAAATTATAAAAATTGTTGTTATACTTGGGGTTTTTAAAATTATGACCTTCACATATGAAAAAGTAAAATTAAATTATTATTTTAAAGTAATATTTATTCTTTACAAGGATTAATACATTTCACTACTAGAATGTGGGCAGTCACAAAGTGGGTGTCATTTACAGTACATAAAAATTCCTTGATCACCTCATAATGCTTCCTGTATGCTTGCTCCACTCTTGTCGGCACTGCCCAAGAAGGATAGAACCAAAGAATCAATGACACTGGGAACACAGCATATAAGATTAAGAAACTCCCAACCCAATTACAAAACATAAAGCAAAACAATGAAATCTCTTCTAGCCTTAGTGATTGAAAATTCATACTTACCTGACCCTATCGCTTCAGTACCTTTCCTTCCTATGGATGATGTATTTGCAATGGCATCTGTGGAGGAAAGATGAGTCTGCATCAATCAATTATTGAATAGCCTACACACAAATCTAGCAAACATACCAGTGTCTCTAGCGTCCCTGCAAAGTGGTGATCCATCCAAAACTCCATGAGCATTAACACGAACAAAGCCCTCTAAAGAACGACCAAGTTGTGCAGTAAGTTTAGAAAGTGTAGGAACTTGGGAAAACCTCGTGGCTGTGCAAGGCAGAGAAAAGCCGTAAAGCCCTAAAACCCCGACATATATTTCGAGAGCACAACAAGAAATCTATCGAGAAATCTTTGAAGCTAAATCCTGCATATGGAAGGCCTGCCGAAGGTCCGAGCTAACCAGCAGGGATATTTCCTGAGCTGCGATATTTCCTTGTCCATGAAAAGAGAGTGACTTTGATCAAGATCTCTTGTGTTTTGCATATTGGCATCCTTGCTAGACCTGAAAGGGAGTTTAAATCCAAGCCAGCGTGAGCAAAGGAGATACATGTGTGATTTGCAAAGGCGTCCTTGAAAAAAAATGTTTTGGCCCTTTCACAGCTTAAGCCTACAAACAAAGAGTGGTGCTGATGTACCAACTTGCAAATGATTGCGGGCTGTCGTGCTTATCTCTGCATTTTGCAGTAAATATTCCAATTTTTTTATAATATTCATATATATGGTCTTCTGATGAGACCAAAGGATTTAAATATGATTGTCTTTGCCACTTGGCAGCTAATGTCTTTTGCTATCTCCACTTCTAGTGTGCCTGAGGCCACCACTCCTCCTGGGGTTTTGCTCTATGACTCACTTTTACCCTTTGGGTATGTCTATCATGAGGGCTTTGCCCTGTAAGAGTTCACGCATCCATCTTGTACCACCAAGGATGACACCCCAGGGGATAGGTGTTTATATGTCGGACCACGGTGGGGCCATGAGATTTTTTGCTTGGTGCTACGTCCTAACTCCTCCATAAGTAGATGCTGTCCCATTTGATAGCCTTCTATTGCGATCCTGGGAAGTCAAAGTTGACTGTGGTAATGTAGCTGTTGTAGAGGACGTTATCTACCATATTAACTCAGCACCATGCCTGGAGAGCTTGCCACGTCCAATATTCAAGGTCTCCAAATAGCTCTGTGCGCAAGGAATCCAAGTCCAACCCAAAGGAGGAAGTCCAGCTTCGAAAGTCATGCCACCATCCTTTTCGACGTGAGTTCGCCATCTCTTGTGACTCCTGGATGGCAGCATCTGCTAGTTTCTGACGGTGCAGGAAGTACCCACTACAGACGTATGTGAGGCAGCGTCTTCATGAAAGGATCTCCAGTGGAAGAAACCCAGGTCATCCAGTAGCAATTGCCTGGGACAAAGAAAGTTCTTAAATATTAGAGAACAGCCAAAAGGAAATACAAACCTGTAGTGACACTGTTGATGGATCTGAAAAGTTTCTCAAAGGAACGGGCTTGTTTGGTTTGTGAGATGGACACAAGAAACTTAGCCAATTTTCACAGAAACTGCAGAAATCAATGTCAATTCTCCAAAAAAAGGGGGAAAGAAAGTCACAGTACCAGAGCCAGGATTGACAACCATCGCTTCAAAAATCTCCTTAAGGCTTTTGGCATCGACAGTGGAAGAAAGAGGAGAAGTATCACCACCACCAGGAGGAGGAGAAGAAGCAATCGCTTCCAATACTTCCTCTAGAGTTTTGGCGACTTGAGTCATGGATGGCCTCTGCTTGCCTTTGAGCCTTGTACACTCGAGCGCCAGCTTTAGCACCCGGAACAGTGGCTCGGGTTGCAAAGGCACTGCCAACCTTGGATCCAACACCGAGCTCCACTCGTCACGTCCCACCAGATCGATCACCCAAGCCACCAGGTTCTGGATCTGTCTCGATAGATCAACCGGCTTACGACCGGATAGCAACTCGAGAAGAACCACTCCAAAGCTATAGACGTCGCTCTTGATCGTGAGCTGCGAAGAGGTCCCATACTCGGGATCCAAGTAGCCGGGAGTTCCAACTATTGTCATGTTGCTCAGGTGCGTTGCATTGTCCTGAGGCCCGCAAAGCGAGATCCCAAAGTCGGAGATGTGTGCGTTCCAGTCAAAGTCGATGAGAATATTGGCCGACTTTATGTCCCTGTGGATGATGCTGGGCGATGCATACTTGTGGAGATACTCGAGGCCCCGGGCAGCCTGTGCCGCAATTCTTATCCGGCTCACCCATTCCAGAGGGCCGGAACTAGAAGTTGGCGATTGGAATATGTTGTCATGGACAGTTCCTCGAGACATGAACTCGAAGACGAGGACATTCTCTTCTTTGCAGTATCCAAACAAGTTTACCAGGCAAGAGTGGTGAGTTCTAGCGAGAAGTTCCAGCTCCTTGTCAAACATCGCATCACACCTGTATAAGTTTCCAGTTAGAGCAAGCTTTCGCTATATAAGCTCGAGGATTCAAGTACTTACCTCTCGCAAGCCTTGCCTCGCTTGATCGCGACTTGGTAGCCATTCTCAAGCACTCCCTTGTACACCGTTCCGAAAGCACCTCTCCCCAGGATCATCTCCTCGCTGTAGTTCTTTGTCGCCAACTTGAGTTCTTCCGCGGAGATAGAAACAACTCCATTGCCAAAATGCTCGTTGTTCCTGGTGGACAAGACCCGTAGCTTGCCCTTCCTTCTCCTGATCCGGCAGAGGTAGCTCCACACAGCTCCCATGAAGATGAGAGCAAGCGAGAGCGTCGCCGAGACATACAAGACCACGACGAAGACACTCTTGCCACCCTGCCTCTTGGCGTCGCGGCCACTGCCAATCTTGACGCTGCCACACTGTCGATCGGAGTTCACACCGCACGGAGAAGTCTCGACGTTGCCCCCGACGCAGATGGAACAATCCAAGCACACCTTGTCGGACAGAGACGGGCACTGCGACGAGGTCTTGTTCATCTGGAACTGGTTCTTGCCGCACTCGCCCATGCACAAGGCCTGGCTTGCATTTAAGTTGACGATCTCAAACTCGGCCACGTTGTTTCCCCAACACAGCAGCTTTGCGGGATCGTCCCGCGTCACCCCGCAAGTGTGGAAGTTCCCAGCCGAGATGGAGGAAAAGGTGGCGGACTTTGGAACCTGGAGCTGCCGCAAGTGATCATCCCCCCAGCACATCACCTGGTGATTGTCCGCTCGAATCCCACACGTATGCGAGAGGCCTCCAGCGAGAAACGAGAACTTCAAGCCAGGAGGGACGAGAGAAGATCGCCCATGATGGTCTTCGTCCCAGCAAAGAGCATCCATTGTGGAGCTCGCAAGCCCACAAACCGATCGTCCTCCCACGAACACTGAAGCGAATCTCTCGTTCTTTGCCTCTTGAATGCTCTCTGGAACTCCGCCCCAGCAGTGCAGTGCGCCATCTTGGGTGAGACCACAAGAGAAATTCTTTCCCGATGACACCGACAAGAAGTTCTCCCCTGGAGGGCTGCCGTTGTTTCCCCAGCAGTCGGCTCTACTGTCGCTGCTCCGGATCGCGCAGCAGTGGCTGGAACCGCAGCTTATGCTCGTGTAGCTCACGTTTAGCAGACGAGCTGGGAGTTGGAGATCGCCCCAGCAAACTGGAAAGCGAGAGCCATACTCTAGGCCGCAAGCAAAGTTGTCTCCACCAGAGATGGCGAAGAGCTTCTTGTCTTTCAGCTCCACTTCTGCTATGTCCGTGCCCATACAAGTTGGTGTCAAGAGTTTCGATTCTAGAACGCACACAGAGAAAGAACCTGGCTGGACGGATGGAGGGCGGGCCGAGATGGAAGCTATGGTGCTCATGGAGCCAAAGCCTGCGGTAGGAAGGACAAAAAGAGATCCCAATGATCCCAGCAAGAGAATAGTGATCGCCCATGGAATTTTCTTGCGAGCTAGCATGATAATCTACAGAGAAAACGCTCGCGCTCGCATTGGTCGCTCATGGAAGATGGAGTTAAAAAGCAAAAGAAAAAAGAGAAAGGAAACAAAAGCGTTGCGCATTGCTGAGACCGCCCAAGGTGTGTTTCTTTGTCCTGCGTCGAGGAGGGACGTAGCGGACGATTGTCGAGTCCAAACGCTTCCACTCTGTGCTGGGAAAATCTAAGAACCCTTCCAAGGAACTTTGTTTTGGAACTTGGTTTTGGAACTTGTATCTATTTTTCCACATCTGGAAGATAGTTCTTAAGTCGATCGAGCGATACAAACACACCATCTTTCTCTTTTTTTTTTCTCCCTACAACGCTTCAAGATTTTCCTTTGCTCCAGAGAGAAAAGCAAAGAAGCAAACTATCTAGGAGGAGATGGAAAGAAGAGGAGCTCCAGCCATAGCTTCCACGATTTCCTCGAGCCTCTTCGCGACCAGCGTCATAAATGGCCTCTGCTTGCTCGCAAACTTGGAGCACTCTAAAGCCAGCTTCACCGCGCGATAGAGCGGCTCTGGTTGCAAAGGCGCTGGCAAGCTCGGAACCAGCACCGAGCTCCACTCCCTGCGTTCCACCAGATTGAGCACCCAGGCCACCAGGCTCTGAAACTTTCTCGACGAATCCACCGGCTTCTGGCCGGAGAGCAGCTCCAGGAGAACCACTCCAAAGCTGTAGACGTCGCTCTTGGCTGTGATCTTGGAGGAGAGGCCATACTCTGGATCCAAGTAGCCTCGCGCTGCCTTGAGGTCCACACAGTGCCAAGCCAAAGTCGGAGACGTGAGCGTTCCAGTCACGGTCGAGGAGTATGTTTGCAGTCTTGACATCCCTGTGAATGATGCTTGGCGACGCATACCTGTGGAGATACTCGAGCCCCCGCGCAGCCTGTGCCGCGATTCTCATCCGGCTTATCCATTCGCAGCTAGAGATGTTCTCGAGAAGTGTGCCTCTGGCCATGAACTCGAAGACGAGCAGCTTGTCTTCCTGGCAATAACCCATGAGGTTTACCAGGCAAGAGTGGTTAGCTCTCCCAAGGAGCTCCAGTTCCTTGTCAAACATCTCATGCGAGCTGGTAAAAAGAAAACCAAGCTTTTGGTAAGGTGTCCATCACAAGAAGGAACTTCAAAACTCTAGTAGCTTACCTGGAAGAATTTGCTCGCTTTACAGCAACTTGGTGGCCATTTTGGAGCACTCCCTTGTATACCGTCCCAAAAGCACCTCTCCCCAAGATCATCTCCTCGCTGTAATTGTTTGTTGCTGCCCGGAGTTCCACTGAAGATAGAGAGATCACTTCCTAAGCCGCTGCTTGTTTGAAACAAGTCTCTCTCTGTACTCCTGACAAGCCCAGACTCCTATGAGCGTGATTCCAAGCGACGAAGTGACGACCAAAGGCAGCATGATGAAGAACAAACCCGTTGGATTTCTCCTCCCTGGGCCCTTGAAGCTTGCTGGTAAGTTGTTTTTGCCGATTATCATGCCACACTTTCGATCAGAGTCCGCTCCGCATGGAGAAATCTCGAAGTCGACACCGACGCATGCCGAGCACTCCAAGCACACCTTGTCAGACAAAGACGGGCACTGCTGCGGAGAGGAGGTCCTGTTTACCCGATACTGGTTTTTCCCACACTCGTTCGTGCACACCGCCTGGCTAACATGCAAGTCGATCTCCCGGTACTGGACGGCGTTGTTTCCCCAGCAAAGAAGCCTTGCATTCGCATCCCGGGTGACCCCACAAGTGTAGATGTCTCCAGCCGAAATGGCCGAAAAGGTGGCGTCCCTGGGAACTTGGAGCTGCTGAGCCTTGTTCAAACCCCAGCAAACCACCTGGTGATTGTCCGATCGTATCCCACACATGTGGTGATATCCTCCTGCTAATCTAGAGAACTTGTAACCAGCGGGAACCACGAAAGCCGACGAGTCCTGTCCCCAGCAAAGTGTTTCCCCTGTGGAGCTCGTCACCCCGCAGATCGTATAGCCTCCCACGAACACCGACGTAAAAATCTCGTTTTTGGGCTGTGGAACTTGATCCGGCACGTATCCCCAGCAAAGAACTTCTCCACCTTGAGTCACCCCGCAAGAAAAATCCACCCCGGAAGACACAGATACCAGGCTTTCGTCCTCCAAAAGGGCAATCGCTAGCTCCTCTCCCCAGCAGTCCACTCTACTGTCATTGCTCCGGATAGCGCAGCAGTGATTTGCACCGGAGCTCAAACTCGTGTAGCTAACGTTTTGGAGAAGAGCTGGGACCTGGAGCTTACCCCAGCACAGTGGAAAGCGAGAGCCATAGTCAAGTCCACAGGTAAACCGAGCTCCACCAGAGATGGCGAAGAACTTCTTCTCTGGAGGAGGCATCTGCGTGACATGCGTGTCGTCGATACAGATGGGTGTCAGGACTTGGGCTTGCAAGACACATATCGGGAAGGAGCCACTTGGATCGTGGAATGGAAGGCCCCTTGTTTCCATAGAACTAATCGTGTTCATGTAGCCAAAGCCTGTCGTGGAAGCCACAAGTAAAAACCCGATCATGGCAAACGAAAAGTTTTTGGGAGCTAGCATGGTTTGAGGATGGAAATCAGAGGAGAATGGAGGATGGCCAGATGGAGCAAGAGAGTTGCCTGGGAGAGGAGCGAAAGGAAGTGAATGGCGAGAATCACTTACCAGGCGCTGTTGCGATCTGTCCTCCATCGCAAAAGAGGCTGCGGAAGCATCGGGCGTGGAGAATCGAGCCGAATGGCGAGCGCTGGAGCGGCCACGGCAGCGGCGGATAAAACCTAAGAACCCTAAGCCCTAGAACATAGTTTGGCGCCAAAATTCAAATTCGAGGCAATTCAAACTAAGTCGCGTGTTCGAGCCTGGCCAACGGCGGTAGGGTTTTTCATGGCGGGCACGGATGAATCGCTCGACAGCCTCCTCGATAGTGAGTGTTGCAGATGGAATTCCTTGGTTCTCTGATCGCGATCGTGATTCTAGGTGCTTTGGACGATCTAACGAGGGATTTGGCAGCGAGCTCAATGACAAGGTGAGAAGGAGAGCCAGTTCCGATTGAATCTGGATATTTCAGGCAGAGTGAAGAGGCGCCGGTCACTCCGGAGAATCCAGCGGGTCTGGGGAAGGGATTGCCGTCATTGCAACAATCCAAGAAGAAATCCATGGCGAAGGCGGCACCACCGGCCGATCCATTGGCCGCAACGCTAGAGAAACTCGCTGAGACGACGAGGAACACGGTCAATAGCATCGATTCACAGCCGGACGAAGGCCTTTTGGAAAGTCTGCTAGGAAGACAGGTATCTCTCATTTCCTTCTTTGTTCTTGAGCTAAAGGAATGTTTTTTTTTTGTCGTCCAGGACTTGGAATCCTTGGTGGGGAATTTTATGCAGCAAATCCTTTCCAAGGAAATCCTCCACGAGCCAATGAAGGAGATTGGCGAGAGATATCCTTCTTGGCTGGAAGCCAACAAATCCAAGCTCAGCAAGGAAGATCGCGACCGATTTTCCAAGCAGCACCAACTTATCCTGGAACTTTGCCGAGTCTACGACACCACTCCAGGCGATTTCGACAAGATCACGGAGCTTATGCAGAGCATGCAGGGCTGCGGACAGCCGCCAGCTGAGATTGTCGCGGAGCTTGCTCCTGGGTTGCAACTCGGCGAAGATGGATTGCCACAGTAAGTATATAGCGAGAGCTAAAGTTTTCTTTTCTCTTCTTCGTTTGCTCTTTTGATGAACTTTCTTCGTCCAGGCTGCCTATTCTCCCTGGAGAACAAGGAGGCGAGAATGCAAACTGTAGCGTAATGTAGATGGGATGCGACGTACCACCACGCTGAGGCCGTTGCAAGGTACACTTTTAAAAACTTTTTTCTGGTAATAAGAGCAGCCATTTCCTTCTTTGTCTGCTTTCCTTCCGCTACTAAGCTCAACCGGAAAACAAGAAGAGAGCAGCATGCAAAGATGATGGTACGTATGAGCGCGAACGTTAAGGCCTTTGTTTTTTTATATAAGCACATACCTCTCTCGGTGGAGTTTTACCGTGACTCAGCGATGAGTGTTGCTAATCTGCTGGTCGCTCTAGTTTTTTTGCCAGCAGTTTCATCTCAGTGGCATTTTCCTTGGCACCATCGTCTCCCGGGACGCAATCCATGGCCGGTTCCTGTTCGCCGAGATCCAGACTTGCAGTTCTTGAGGCTGTCGGGACGAGTGAGTTGCAAGCGTTGCTTCTCGTTGGCTGCACAGGGAGTTCCAGGTACCTGTTTCTTCCACTTCTTTCGTGCTGTTTCCATTCTAACTGTGAGAGAAATGTTTGATGAAGGCATCCGCGTGACAGTCTCGTGCGGCTCCGCCTCGGCCGAGAGCGTGACCAGCTTCTTTGGAAATTTCTGGATCGACGTTACTTTCAACCGGAGGAGATCCAAGAAATGCAAGCTTGGAGTAGACAGCGACTCCCTGCCAGAGTCCTGCCGCCCGGAGTCCGCCGTGGAGGAGATCGACGTCTCGGGGCTCCGTCAAGGCTTCGATTTCTATCGCTGCAGCAGCTTTAACTTCGAGTCCCACTGCAACCATGGTCATCCACACTTGCCAAAACCACAACCTCCTCGCTTTGTTCCACCACCATCTTCATCGTTATCACCGCCGCCACCCGTCCCATCACCACCACCACCACCATCTCCCCCACCACCATCTCCGCCACCACCACCACCACCACCATCTCCGCCACCACCATCACCACCACCACCTCCATCACCGCCACCACCACTACCGCTACCGCTACCACCACTTCACCCACTTCCACCGAGAACCATCGTACCACCACCATCACCGCCGCCGCCGCCACCATCACCACCACCACCCTGCTAATCTAACTAGTTTCCTTCTCGGTCTAGATAACCTTCCACTGTAACTCTTTTGACGTTCCAAATCTAGTCTACAATCCTGGAAGAAACTATTAGAAGAGAGGGAGAGATTTCTCTTGTTACCAACCTTTGCATGCCAAGAGAATGGATTCATCGCGAGGACAGCACGCGCTATTGCGCTCTACGCACAAACGAATAAACAAAAACGTTAGAAACCTTGAGTCACGAAGTATAAAGGATGAGAGCATACCTTAGATGTGTGTCCAAGTGATTCCGACTTTAACCATGAGGCTACCTCTCGCCTCTTGGCTGCTGCGCACTCTCTTCTTCGCTCTAGCGAGCTCGCAAGCCTCGGAGCTATGGAGAGATTCTCGAGCTCTTCACCACCACCACCACCACCACGAGCAGCATCACTCCACCACGAGCTTCGCCGCAAGCGTCCTCTGCTTCGACTGCTTCCGATCGATCAAAGGCATCGCAGGTACGTACGCTTTCGCTTTCCAGCTTTGTAAGAACACTCCTGACTTCTCCCGGGCAGGTGTTCGCCTCGTTTTATCCTGCGGTGACGACTTTGAGATCAATGCAAAAACCGATACAAATGGATCTTACCACTTCAGCCTCCGTCAGCCGAGCGTCGCAAAGTGCAAGCTCCGAGTCGACAAGTCCTCCTTGCCAAAATCGTGCTCGAAAGTTCTTCCCCGCTATCCCTCCGTGAAGACCCTCAACATCAGACACCCGTCAACACTCCGGTTCGCCTTCTATCCCAGTTCCTGTGACATCGACCGTCCCCCTGTTCACCATCATCGACACCATCACCATCACCGTCGTCATAAACACCGTCACCTTCCTTACAATCCACCACCCCACCGCAAAAATTTACCACCACCACCACCACCAGTGCACTCACCGCCGCCACCAGCCAAGCGGCTCATAATTCGACCACCGCTTCCACCGCCACCACAAGCTCTTCCGGATCCTCCACCACCCGTCCAAGCTCCCCATTCTCCAGCACCCATGGAACTTCCTCATTCCCCGTCACCTCATGACTTCCATTTTCCCGAATACTTCCATTCTCCACGGACTCTAGAAGCTGTTACTCATCCTGTAGAAGCTCCACGCTCTCCAGCATTGGTTGAATTTCCTGGTTCTGAAGATGGACATCTGGTGACGCGTTTGCCTTCCCTGGCCCCTTCGCCATCGACACCAAGTCCAGTTCTCCAAGCTCCTCCACCGCCTGTAGCCGGAACACCGCCGCCACCTGTAAGGCGGGCACTACCTCCTCCTCCAGGACGCGGCAACATTTGCAGCACGGACGATACACGAGCCCATGCCTGAGTAGAGCACAGAAAAGCTCTCGTAGAAAATCCTGAAAGATAAAGAAGAATCCTTATACTCATGTCTGTTCCAAAGAAATTTGAAGAGCTCACCGAGCTAGTCGAGTCTATTCTCCAAGTCATCGTCCTCGGCTCTTGGAGCTTTTATTTCCAAGAGCTTGTCAACTACACAACGGCAAATCGGGCACCGCTGCGTTTGGAATCGCAAAATCCTGGCGCATTCGGAACACATACACTGCACCACCCAACAGAGTTAGACAAAGAAGAAAAAGAAGAAAGAAACTCAAAGCAAAGATTTACCATGTGCCTGCAAGGTAGCAACGCTGTGTCTCGACGGTTTGTGAGACAAATGACGCATTCCCTGCCTGCGTGTTTGTCAGGATGTCCGTCACCGGTGTTTCCAACACCATATATCTCCTGAAGCTCGTAGCGTGTTCCTTCAACCCAGATGATCTGCTTCAACACTCGAACTCCATATTGACCGCTAGCCTTCCGTTCCAAAAGAACGTACGTTGTCTGTGCGTGTATACTCCGCGGCAGAGGGCCACCGACTGGTAACGAGGCATCGCTCGACTGCTCCTTTGGCATCGACTCCAGTCTGACAACCAAAGAGAAAACTTCATCTTTCCCGTCCTTGGATAAGTCGTCAGCCTCAAAGAGAGAGAGATTGACACCTGATCCTGGAAGCTGACAAAACCTCTGTCCCAGTCCCTTGTCAAAGGTGACACGCTGAGGCCGAAACAAATGCGGCTTCAGAGGAACAAGGCTAAAGTTCGGGCCGGCGCCAGCGAGAAACAGGATCGAAGCGCTGCACATAACAAATGTTGCTGGAGGTGAGAAAGAAACGCAGTGCTTACCTCCCAGGAACGGCTGCATCGAATAAAAACGACACCAAGTGCTTCCCCGCGTTTTCTTTATCCTCCTCCAGCCGCAGAGTTCCCCTCTTCAAGTTCACATCGTTTCGGATAGTGATGGCCTTTTGATGAACTTGCGGAGGCACCATAACAACACCCAGTCCATGCTCGGACAGCCTCATCAAGTACTGTCCACTTCTGTATCCCTGCTGGTAGAAGAATGGGAAACGAAACTCCGGGCTCCGACGCCTTTGCACCTGACTGTTTCCGGACGTGCTCGGACCATTTCCCATGGCCCCCGTGCCAACCACGAACGAGCAAAGAGCCGCAACGCATACCCTAGAGCGGCTGACGTGTATCGCACTTTTCGACGTGAACCGTCGATATCCAACGGAACTCTTCCGGTTCCCGGGACCGTGAAAACAGTTTGTTGTAGTTGGGGGGAACCTAACGCGTCCTTTCACCTGCATGCGAAAGTTATGGCGTCAGGACAATGCCAAGCACGCAAATACTATTAGATTGAAATAGCTGCCGCTATAAGAAACATACCTCGAGAGAAAAAAAACCGGGAGCGTTGACAATGGCCAGCATTCGCCTCGTCGTCGCATTTCTCTGCCTCTTGCAAGCTGCGTCGGTAGCGCTGAGTCGAGAAGAGCTCGTCTACGTCAGGGGCAGCGTCGAGTGCAAGACCTGCTCTTCCTCCGAGGAGCCGACTCCGCTCTCAGGTACTTGAAACTTTTCCCGAGCTCTGGAAAACTCTTCGCTGATTTTGTATCCCCATACCAGATGTAACCTTGAGGCTCTCGTGCGATGGAGACACCTATTACCAGAACTCCCACTACCGAGGGCGGTATGTTTTCGACGTCTACGCGAGGAAGAAGATGAAATGCAGGGTGTCCGTGCTGACTTCCACCCTCCCATACTCTTGTAGCCGAGCGAAAACTAGTCTCCACCGGGACGTCGAAATCAGTGCCATCAGCGGGACGACTTTCGTTGTCAAAAGGTTCGTCTTCGGCCCTCCCGCTTGCGTCACCCATTCGAGCAAGAGCTCTCACCACCACCCTGCTCATTCTCACCACCACCACGGGCACCACCACTGGTACCACCATCCACCGCCTCCGCATCACCATGCTCCTCAATCTCCTCCTCCTCCTCCTCATCATCACCACCAGCACCAGCACCACCACCAGCGCCACGACCACCGCTACCGTTTTCATCACCCCAGCAAAGGCTTCTATCCTCCCTCCAAAGGTTCTCACCACCATTCCCCGAGGAGTAGCTCTCCTGGAAGCCACGACCAGCATCCGGCTCCTCCTGGTCACAGACACGGACACGGCCGCGGTCATGGCCACAGGCCTCAGCAGCACCTAGCACCACCGCCTAGCAAAGTACCGGCACCTTCATTCCAAGCGCCAGCTCCATCTCCACCCAGCTTCCAACCTCGACAGTTACCCCCAGGTATGACTTCTTTCACCTCTTTCGAGCTGACACGATGTTGTGGGTGCAGCGCCAACCGCGACTGCTCTTCCACCGCCGCACGGACAAGTTCTTTCGCCGCCACCTGAGAAGCCCAGTGTTGAGGCACCTCCTCCCAAGCAGAACGTTTGGCCGCCACCCGGTGCTAAAGCTCCGATTTCCTCGACTTTCATCCGGCAGGTCACTGCGCCACCACCTCAGCCGGAAGAAAGCGTTGGAACTCCAACGCTGTCGCCTCCTCCCGTGGAGAGTGCTGAAACTCCAGCTTCGCCACCTCTTCCAGAACAGCTTCTCCTTTCTCCACCACTTCCATCGGCTGTTCTTCCTCCAAAATCATCCGAGGCAGCGCTTTCGCCAGCGTCCGATTCCACTCCACCAAAGGACATTCTCCTGGTTCCTCCCGAAGGCTCAGTCTCGGTTGTCCGACCACCGTCCTCCATTCCTTGATTCTTCAGTACGACTCGATACTCTTCTACGTAGAAACAAAAATAAGCACAAGAAAGAATAAATGCTCGAGAACACGAACGAAAGCAAGAAAAATTCTGGAAGGAAGAATGCGAATGAGAAGAACTACTACTAGAATCTCTAGAAAAATACTCAAGAGAAAGAATTTGCGAAGAAACACGAATTTGGAGCAAGGATTCTGCAAGAAAATCACACAAAAACTTCCTGATCTAGAATGCAAGATCCGGCGAGGATCGAGCAGAGAATCGTAGGCGACGTACCTGGCGCCTCGCTCGCGTCCCAAAACCCTAGAAAAAGCCCTAATGCGCTCTTACACCCAATAAGAAAAGGACAAAGAAGGAAGAAAAAAATGCCGAGCTATGGCAATGCAAAGATGGTGGCAGCGCGAGAGCGATGCTTGCACGGCTATCGATTCGTGGCGAATTAAAAACACTGCCAAATCTTGAGCGAGGAAGGAGGAACAAAGAAAAAAAAGAGCAAAGAATGAGAAATCTAGAGTTTTTTTTCTTGCTCTCGCTGATCGTCGTGTCGGAAGCAGTGATTCAATGCAACACCACGATTCCTCTAACCGCGGAAGAACTCGCTGCCTCAGCTCCATCGCCATCGTTCTCCTCCTCTGCCGGCAGCGATCAGTCGCCAGGATCCGGAAGCACAGCTCCCGGACAATCCGGAAGCACCGTTCCCGCGCAATCCGGAAGCACAGCTCCTGGAGGCACAGTTCTCAGTCCTCCCGGTATCCCACATCCTCTTTTGGTTCCTCGCCCTGGCGATCCAAAGCCCAGTCCCGGCGATCCAAAGCCGAATCCCATTCCGCCCAAGCCAAGATCGTCATCGCCCACGACTCCATCGAGCTCCGACGCAGCAGTGGCGCTGTCGCCCGGGCAGGAGGATGTGAGCTTACTCGCCCCAGCGCGAGCTCCAGAGGGATCTTCATCGTTTCCCGCGAAAGCTAGCGCTCCAGCTCCTGGATCATCGACCCAGCCCAAGGAAGAACTTTCCACCACCGCCGCAAAAGGAGTTCCTCCTCCTCTTCCATCATCTTCCACTTTCGCTCCTCCTCTTTCTCCTCCTCCAGCTTTTTCTCTCCCATCGCGTAAATTCGCCCCTTCTCCGGCTGGAACTCCTGATCCCGAGGAAGAAGTTCCTGTTACAAGCAGTGGTGATCGCCACAAGCATGGCCACGGCCATCACTGCCGCCAGCCAAGCAAGATCTTGATTCGCGGCCAAGTTCTATGCAAGAAGTGTGGCGATGATGGCAAAAGCAGGCCACTCTCCGGTAACTAATTCCCCTTCCCTAATCATTTCACGTATGCATGGAGAATTCCTTCGCTCCAAGATGTTTCCAAGGATCAAAGATCTTTGGTGTTCTTCAGTGATCTAACTCTCCGAGATCATGCGCAGGGGTCACGGTGGCTGTGGATTGCTCGCACTCCAGCTTCGTCACCACCACGGACAAGCACGGCAAGTTTAAGATCCAGTTCCGGCATCCGCTTCGCGGTAGCATGGAGAATTGCGCGGCTTGGGTGGAACTCTTCACGCTGCCTTTCCAGTGCCAGAATCGCCACTCTCGCCTGGCACGCGGCACTCTAGCCTTTGATTCCACGGACCACAATGACGTGCTCGTGTATAGCGTGAACTCTCTCCTCATGGAATGCTAGAAGACCAAGTCCAACTGTCCATGAATCGGTCGTTAATCAATAACAAGAATAAGAACGAGAAACTTACAAAAACTAGACAGATCCATTTGTAAACATCCGGAAAGCTTGCCTCGAGTAGATCGTGTCACTTCACGAGCTCGAAGTTGCAATCGATCTCGTTCTCCAGCTTGCGTATCACGAACTCCTCTCGCTCGCTTAACAGCGTCGTGACCACGCACTGCTCGTCTTCCAGCGGCTTGCGGGCTGTTCGTCCGGCGCGGTGGATGTACGCCACGGTGCTCGAAGGCAGCTCCAAGTTGTAGACGTGAGTGACTTCCGGGACGTCGAGTCCTCTGGCAGCTAAGTCCGTCGCAAACAGTAGGAACTTGCTGTCTTTGAGCTTCTGCGTGGATGGTTTTAGAGATCGGAAGCAGCTGGTACACAAACTTACCCGAGAGTTTGCAAATCTCGCGTGGATGTTCATGCACTCCTCCAGTATCAGCAGCTCCCACTGGCTTGCCTCCGACTCGGGCATTTCTTCCTTCTTTTGCTCGAAGAAATCTAGCATTGCTCTTGTTCTGGGAACCAGCCCCTCTCTCTTCCCCTTTTCTGACTACAGCAGGAGCCTTAGTACGAGAATAGCAAAGATAGTGACTTACTTGCTCATTGGCGAAAACAAACGCTGCTTTTGGAGCGTCGGCCATGATGGTCGCATGCAAAACACTAAGTTTGTCTTCGTTTCCACATATCTGTAGGCACAGAAAACAAGTTTGTAGAATTCATATTGTTAGGGAGAGCTTACCACATATCTGTGAGAAAGATTGGATGGCATTTTCACTTCTGGCCGGACGTAGATATGTACGATCTTGGGCTACAAAAGAAGAAGAAAGCATTAATGGATTGAACAGTGTGAGTTGTGAAGAGCTTACCTTGGTCCACTTGTTCTGGACGCAATCGTGGATAAACCGATTGTGTTGAGGCACAGTAGCACTGGCAAAGATGGTTTGCCGCTTTTCCGCAAAAGAATACTTGGTGAGAAGATTCGACACGAGAATTTGTGTTCCTTTGTGCACAGCCGTATCTACCTGTGCTGCAACCAAGCAAGACACTGCTTAAACACATTCCCATTCATGGATAAATTTGATTCTACCTCATCGACCACAATTGTGGACACCGCGTTTAGCTTCAAGTTTCCAGTCTCGATCATCCTGCAAACTGTGAAGAGCGTCCCAATTACTAGCTGAGGGGGAGCAGCTCTCAGCCACTTCTTTTGCCTGCTTGAGGTTCCACCGTCGAGTAAAGTCATGACGCTCACGGAAGTCCGCTTTCCGGTGTCTATCTCATCGGTTTCTTCCAGGACTACACCACCACCAAGCAATCTAGCAACTTGAGCCACCTAAAAGAAAGGATAAGAAACATCAAGTAAAATCACTTTCCTTACCTGAATACCAAGTTCTCTAGTGGGAACCACGACAATAGCTTGTACTGCTGATCTCTGGCACGAGATTTTGCTCAATATCGGCAGCATATATGCTAGAGTTTTGCCGGAGCCTGTCTGCTCAAAGCTTAGTAGAAAAAAAAAGGAGGGGGGGGGGGGAAGGGGGGGATTAAAACAAGCATTATACGCACCTGTGCGTGGAGAATACAATCCCGTCCCTCGAGTGCCACTGGAAGAGCCTCCATCTGGACTTGCGTTGGAAATCTAAGCCCAGCTTCTTCTGCTCTGGAAGAAGAAAAAATTAGAAATCCCATCTGAAACGCCCTCAGGGAAACAAACTACCTGTCCAAGACATGAGAAGGCACCTTGCTCCCACAGAGATCTCGCAATGTAGGCATCGCGTCTACTCCTCCAATCCCACAAATTTCCTCTCGATCCATCAAAGCCCTGGCGCATTTTGCCCGCGCCGCCAAGGGCTTGCTCACCTGGAACGGCCGCGCAGGCCCGAGAATCTGAGCTCCAGATCTCCTGCGCCAATCGATGCCGATGGAATGCCGCCATGGATGTAGGCACTCCATTCCCGCCTCTCTAAAACCCTAATAAGCAAACTTATCACTAAGCATATTCCTGGCATCATTTTGAACGTGAATATTCTTATAAGGTGCTTTGATTCGATTTTTACTCAACGATTACAAAAGTATTTCCCGGATCATCCAGCCAAGCAATCCATGATTGATACATAGATTTCGGTGAGATTGGTGTCACAGATGCGAGGGATAGTAGCACGATCCATAGCCTAGAGCCAAAGAAGTAGAAATTTTAGTAGAATCGAAGGAAGGATCAAACCAAAACCCAGAAAAGAAGAAGAAGAAGAAGAGATCATACTTGGATCATGGGTGGTCACGGTGGCTAGAAACGAGAAGTTGCAAGATCCATAGGCCTTGTTGTTCTTGAGGTAATAGTTATTGAAAGCGTAGGAAGCGTGGCCCCTGGAATTGTCCGGGAGGAAACAGGGCTGCCCGGCCATGATGTTGGTGCAATCCGCCTGTCCGGGGCCGCACACCCAATCCAGCGCGACCTGGAGCTGCGCGAGGCTCGCCCGGCGCTGCGCTATGCACCAGGTTGGAGGAGGAGGCGCTCCAGCGTCCTGGAACAGAGCACCTGTGGACAAGAACCAAATCCACAACTGGGTCAGCGAGATCGGAGGTTTTGGAGGCTGGGGAGTGGATTCCAGGCAAGAATGCAAGTGCCCACAAGGCGATCGAGCAGGAATTCAGTCACCCACAAGCGAATTTTCCCCCGATTGGCACACTGCCCACAAGCAAATATCTCGTGGCCAGATCGGGGCTTAGATGGCGAATTGGGGAGTCTAAGCGGAAATGCAGCTGCCCAGCAGCTCTGATCACGCGGATTCGCGATGGGAAAACCAGGAAATCAATCAATGCCGAGACCCAAGAAAGATCCTGATAGCTAGAATTCGGGGAGAATGTTTTGCGGTGTGTACCTGGTACCACTGCGAGCACAAGGAAGATCGTGGCTACTACTGCTGATCTCATTCTACGCCTTTTTTTTTTTTTTCTCTATCGTGCTTGCGAACTCCCCGCGGCCTCCTGGAAATTATAAGACCCTGTTCTTAAAGGCAAAAGCAAACAAAGTTGGGGGCAAAAGAGAGGGAAAAAAAGAGAGAGGAAACGAAGAACTTTGCGCCATGGGTTAAATTCTTGGCGGTGTATGTCGGTGTGTAGAAGCAGCAACAAAAGCATGGATTTGTTCTTCCCCCCTTCCCTTCCAATTTGGTAGCGAAGTTTAGATTTAGGGCTTTCTTTCGTCCTCGTTTCGTTTGTCACTTTCTCACGATCAATTGAGAGCTGGGGAGCGCACAGAATTTGCGAGTCAAATCACTCCTTTTTTTGCTCTCCTGGCACAAATTTTATTCGGTGCTTCTCACATGGTTTCGGTGGGCCGCCGGACGAATATCCCCTTCTAACAAATTTTAACGGAGTTTCTTGGCGCGCTCGCGAGAATTCTCGATGCCTTTTGCGATGCCGCGGAGCTTTGATGAAAATCACTGTAGTCTTTGTTGGAGTTTGCTAGCTGGAAGTCAATCAATCAAAATGGCCCAAGAGATCTCAGCTGTAGCATCGCATCAGGCTTTAAAGGCACCGAATAGAAAAATCGGAGCTTGAGAATCAAGAGCAAAGAGAACCATAGCTTTTCCTACCTGAAACAATTCTTTCTTACCGTAAGAACGAGAAGATGGCTGACATTCGAGAGCTTGAAAACCAGCTCAAATTCTTCCGGACGCCAAAAATTATGGAGCTAGCAGCACTGACACAACAATGTTGCTTGTTAGATCTACCTATGAGAACATGGAAACTGGAAAGCTTACCAACAAAGGTTGACATTCCCTTTCCATTTCCACGATTTTATACGTAGTTTTTATTTTCTCACTGGTACCGACAGACCGATCTGACGGTTCGATGTCAGCTCGCAAAACTTTGCCCTGCTTTCGCAGAAAAAAAGTTCGATGTTAAGTACCAACGAGAAAAAGGAAAGCAAGTTTGAAAGACGCTTACGTTTAGGCTGTGAAGATTGTAACCAAAGAGATGGTGATCACCAGCATTACTCCGTTCACGTCCCGGTAACGCTTGAAACTTTGATCAGAGTGCTCGACGACCGGTGGTCGAAAGGTCACGTTGCCAGAATCCAAAGCAGCTGGCTCCGAAGCTACAGCGGCGGATGGTTGCGGTCCCGAGATCGACAAGCTCCGCGGCGCTGGACAAGTTCGCCGGCACGGGTGATCCCGCTTCTCCCTCGAGAAACACCACTTGCAGCTAGAGCAGCTCCTGTCACTGAAAGGAACGCAGGGCGATGTCTCGTAGCTCCCAGCCTTGCACCTCGCGCACGGCAAACAGATCTTCTCCTCGGGTCCGGCGCAGTCCTTGACGTCGGTGTTCATGAGATCGTACTGGTCGTGCTCGCAATCGGCCACGCAAAGTCCATCTTTCACTCGGATAGTTTTCGGAGCTCTGGCGCTTCCCCAGCACAAAAGTTGGCGCTCGCCCAGGGTTACCCCGCAAGTGTAGAAATCCCCTGCCGCTATCGTGGAGAACTTTAGATCCGATGGAACTTCCAGCTGACCGTGCCTGTTATCCCCCCAGCACACCACCTCGTGAGAATCGTCTCGGATCCCGCAAGAGTGGTCGATCCCGGCGGCTAGAGTCGCGAAGGAGAGACCCTTTGGAGGATCACACTGGCCGGACTCGTTGTTCCCCCAGCAAAGAGCCTCGCGGCTCGCGAGCAAAATGCCACAGACGTGAGTTCTTCCAGCGAAGATCCGGAAGAACACCGAGTCGTGAGGAATCACCTCCGTGGTGTTGCCGGACTTGGAGATCTTCCCCCAGCACCTCGGCCGCCTCGTGGAAGCAACCAATGCGCACGAGAAGTAGTCCCCGGCAGTGATGGACACCATCTGAGAGGGGCGATCCGGGCGGCTGATCTGACCGAAATCGCTGGCGCCCCAGCAATCGATCTGGCCTGGAGCGGTGGAGGAGGAATTGGACCGCACAGCGCAGGCGTGCCAACCGCCACAGCTGATCTCCGCGTAGCTGACGTTCTTGAATTCGTCCGGGACATCGCTGCCTGGCGATTGCCCCCAGCAGAGAGGAGACCGTGAATCCGCCCGGAGGCCGCAAGCGAAGTAGGCGCCCCCATTCATCGCCCAGAGCAGGGAATTCCCTGGCGGGGAGATGTTGCTGTCGATGACAAAGGTACCCCAGCAGAAAGGCTGCATTGTGCCAGCGCGGAGAACGCATAGCGCGAACGAGTTCTTGGCGTCAGTGAAGCTGCCGCGCATCGCCGCCAAGGTCGTCATGGCGCCAAGGGCCAGCACCGTGTCGATCCCTAGCCCGAGCAGCAGCGCCAGCGCCAGAAAGCTCCCACAGATTTCCAGTGGCTTGCTACTGCAGCGCAGCATTGTTGCCCTGATCAATCCAGAGCCTACCCTGGCGCTCCGAGCTCCATGAAGAACCCTAAACCATTTGCCCTAAATATTTTTCCTGGAGGGAATTTTAACTTTAAGAAGTTGCGGGAAATTCAAATTTAAAACTTTTTATTGTAATCATATACTCGGTGTTCTTCATATCATACACTCGGTGGGCAAAAGGAAGGAAGCAGTCCCTGAAAAGAGTGAAAGGATCAGTCCAGAGAAATCCAAGAGAAAGGAAAGAGCAAACCTCCAGGAAGAATTTATAATCGAGAGAAAGGAGTACCGTAGCTCCTCTCAGCCAGTGTTTCGCATTCCAGCGGCGATTCCATTGATGGTGATGAGCAGCGCGTCGCGGAGCTTCTGGTTGTTTTCGTCCTGGCGCAATCTTCGCAGCACCTCCACTTGGAGCATGTTCATGGGATTGAGATATGGAAGCCGGCTCTCGACCAGCCGCCGCAGCGTCTTGTTGTTCTCGATCAGCTTCTGGTGGCCGCTGAGCTCCTGGACGTACTTTGCGGTCGTGTGGAAGGCCTGGCGGAGCTCCTCTCCCAGCTCCTTGCGAGCCGCGGAGCTCACGAGCACGTCGTCGTAGTACTTGGCGATGGACGGGTCGGCCTTGGCGAGAACCATCTCGATGAGATCGATGGTCGACTGGAAGAACGGCCACTCCCTGTACATGGCCTGGAGCTCTTCCTTGTGGCCCTCGAGGAAAACTTTCTCCAGGCCTGCGCCGACGCCGAGCCAAGCGGGGAGGACGAATCTCGTCTGCGTCCACGCGAAGATCCACGGGATGGCTCTGAGCTGGGAGATGCCGCCCGCCTTTTTGCGTCGAGTTGGACGGCTTCCAATGTTGAGGTTGCCGAGCTCGGCCTCCGGAGTCGCCTCGTGGAAGTATGGGATGAAGTGCTCGTTCTTGAAAACGACGTCGCGGTAGTTTGTGCAGCTTGCGTCGGAGATTTCTTCCATGATCAGCCGCCAGTTCTCGGAGCGTGGAGGGTCTGGAGGATTGAGTGTGGCTAAAAGTACCGCAGTCGTGTAGATCTCGAGCTGCCGGACTGCTGTCTGCGGGACGCCAAACTTCGCCTGGACCATCTCTCCTTGTTCTGTCACTCTCAGAGATCCCTGATACATTTGAAGTAACAATCAGTGACCATGGATACTCACATGAAACAGTTCATACCATGACAGATCCCGGAGGCTGAGATTGAATAGCGAGATAAGTAGGCCCGCCTCCACGTCCAACACTTCCACCTCGTCCATGAAAGAGTGTGACTTTGATGTTGTGCTCTTTACACGCAGCCACTACGTCCTCCTGTGCTTTGTATAGCTCCCAGGCTGCCGAAAACCTGCCGGCATCCTTGCCGGAGTCCGAGTAGCCAAGCATCACCTGCGGAGGAAGAGATTAATCCAAGCTCTCGTGACAAAAAGAAAAAGTATACCTCTTGATGTCCATCGTGATTTGCAATTAGGTGTGCTCGATACCAGTCAATCCGTAAAAGCTTGCGGATAACCGTACCGGCATCTCTTAAATCTTTTACGGTTTCGAAGAGTGGCACAACCCGGAGCCTGTTACAAACAGTGATGTAAGTGATAACCAACGTGTAACTGGGAAGCTTACGATCCGGTTGGACAAGGCCTGCCTTGCTCCCCGCTCACAATAAGTCGTGCTTCCTTTTGCAACAACTCCACAGCAAGAACGTCGCTAGCCTGTAGCAGAATTTCGGGAATTATTTACAAAAACCAAAAAAAAAAAAAGAAGACAAGACTGACCTCTGAAGCCATGGAGATAACATACGCTTCAAGAGAATTGCTTCCAAGTTCTGCAGCTACACGGAATGTATCCAAAACTTCTTGAACCTCTCTGGACACCTGAGACATTACGGGGGATTAAAAAATGTTTTGCTTTCAGGAAAAGAAACATTATAAAATAAAACCTCAATTGAAGGAGGAAGAAGCGGTCGTTTGCCTTTCAGCTCGGATGTCAGGAAGTCCAGTTTCTTTTCTTCATCCCACTGACTATAAGTCCCCATTTCAAGAAACTCAGTTACTGCATTCAAGGCCTCTGTATGCTTATCGGCTTCCTATTAAACAAGTGTGAGCTTTTTTGGACTTCCAAGTGCATTTCATTACCTGACGAAGGTCCAGCTTCATCAGCGTTAAACCAAACGTTGCCACTCTTCTAATCAGATCTGCCAGCTTTCCATCCGCTAAAACGTCGGAGCCGCACGATTGCTGAAAAGAGCGCTGGATCAGCCGGCAACATCAAAATATAACGCACATACCAGAGATTCGTGGCAAAGCAATAGTGGCTCCAAAAGCTGATCTGCTGATTCGTAGTACTGGCCGGGTTCGTAATCGGTTGGCAAACCATTCAGTATGTCCTCGAGGCGTCGTCTAGTGCTAAATATCTGTCCGAGTGACATGTGAGATAGTCAATCGACAAACAAACAAATCAAATATCCTTCTCACCTTATCCCTCACGTGTCCAAGAACAATTCGGTATGGAGAATCCATATGTCGAGCTTCCAAACCTGGATTTAAGAGTTTCTCAAGGCTGGAGCGAACTTCAGATCCGGGTTTTTTCCTTGGGGTGACGGGGGTTGGAGGGAGCCCGTTCTCTGTCTCCGTTTTCACAGCTCTAGGGGAGGATGTGGCCTCTTTGGCCGTCAGAGCCTGTTATAAGGGAAGTTAATCTAGAGGCAAAGCAAACACAAAGATGTACCTGATAAGTTTGTTGGTTGAACGGGAGTTTCAAAGACGGTAATTGAGCCTCTCCATCGACCTCTGGGCTTTTTGTTATTACAACAGCTTAGAAGTTTGGCATTATAGTTACCAGTAGAAGCGCACATATCTGCTCCAGCTGGAAGGTGAACAGGAAGCGCAAAATTATGGTGCTCTGTGTGTCTTGCATGACTTCGATGGTGTTCTTCCGTCTGTCCATGCTCTTGAAGGAAACTACTCGTCAGTACTAAGAAAAATAGAAAACATATACCTTCCGAAAGAACTTGATAAGCCATACGAATAAGTTTTTCGTTGCCATTGCTCATTGAAAGTTCAAATTTTAAAGCATCAAGTTCTCGCAGATATAAATCTGCACCAATCCACTTCGCTAATAGGCAGACATCTTTTGTCACCTGCAAAAAATCAGTCGGTTAGTTATGACGTCCAAGGGGCGAGACGTCAATCGAGTACCTTGGCAGTTACATTTGGGTTTCCGTCCCTGTCGCCACCCATCCAGGAGCCAAATTTTATGGGCGTGCAACAGAGAGGCAGTGGTTTACCAGTGTGCTAAAGAGTCAATCTTTTTAGTGTACAGAATCATCAACCACTTATATGTACCTTTTTGAGAGCAGTGCTCACTCGTCTCAAATATTGCGGCACAGACTTCCATAACGACTGCTCAACTATATGCAAGCCTAAACTCAAGTAAAGAAACAATATCAGAACAATATTCCAAACTCGAGGCAATCGACCTGCACGAGCTTCGTCCACAGGAGTCGGTTTACGTCGTCTTAGCTCGTCTGTTTGCCACAGGGCTGTAATCTCTCTCACCTGTAAAGCAAGACATTGCCGATCAGTTCTTTCTACCAATAGAAAAACAGTTTACCAGATCCTCGTAAACTTGCTCTTTCTCTTCGTGCGTCAAATCCGGTCGATCATTCCTTTCCAGCAAATGCTGCGCAGATAGATAAGCATGAGCTTTTTTCAAAACAAAATATATTCTAACCTCAATGCGGACATGCTTGTACTGTAGCGTACGCCTGTTGATTTGTGTGGGGTGCGCTGTTAGAACTATTTCAACCTCCTGGTCAGAGAAGACAGAAAATCGTCACATCGCAGGAAACTTCACAACGAAAATGAATGACCTGCTTGCACACTGCCTCATACACTTCCTCACGAGAATAACCGGTTTGAATCAGCTTTTCGAAAACATCGTCGCAGGATTTGGACAGCACCGGCGTGGATCGGTTGCGACGCACCCTGCATTTAAGGTTGTTGACACTTTTAGTGAGAAAAAGTGAAGGAAAGGAAAAAGCACAGCACGTACCGGTGGTGAGTCTCAGCTATGCCCATGAGATTGAGGTAATGGCTGAAAGCTCTGGTTAAAGGCACAGCCTCCTCCGAGCTCATGTTCTCCAGCTCGTCCCTCAATTTTCTGGAAAGCCATTCGGATGCGTCGTCAACCCCGGCAGCTCGCATGTTACAAGCACTCTATAAAATCCAAAAGCCACAGTGAGATATAAAGACAACACAAACGAATGGAGATAAGATAAGAACTCACCTGTGCCAGGACGCGAAGACGCTCCACCTTCTCGGTGAATTCGTGCCCCACCTCGCGTTGCAAGCAGTCATTGAGGAGATTTCCCAGGAGATGGCAGTCATCCTCGAAGGACTGGAACGAAATCTCCTCCGCAATATCGTCTGTGGTGTCGATCATGATCGCTAGAGCCGGGCGCTGCCGCGACGGACAGATCTAGCGGATTACTGACCCTTACGAACCTATTCTCGCTCAGATCGGTGGCGATGCCTTGCGAGCGATCGATATTTAAGCGCCCGGATGATGCCGCAAGAGCGCTGGAGCTAGCGCCGTCCCCAGAAATCCGACCTTTGAGAAAGAAGCTTAAAATTTCTCCCCTATACCCAGGAATATGCTCTAAAACCTACGGACACGTGGCCTTTGCCGAAGATGCCTTGGCATATCCATTGATGCTGTGCTAGATTCTATCTCGAAAATACAAAACATGACGTTAGATGCGAATCCATTAGCTGATAAGAGAACCATTAATATATTTCCACCTATTGGAACTCAATGTTACCTCCACATGGTGGAGGTGTACACGAAGAAGTCTTTGAAGTTGACATTGCCGAAGGGAGTTCTATTGACCATGGACCATTGGCCATTTGGCCAAGCACAATTTTGGTATATGCTTCTTCAACGGGATTTAGGGTTCTAAAGAATTGGGGGAAAGATCGCGTTGTTTTCTGGCGCTGGAGCCGCCGATCGAGGAGGGGCAACTATAAAGAAAATGTAAGTTCGCCTCGCCTCGCCTCGATTCGATCTAGATTTCTAATCTTTTTTACTCGGCGGGGTCGGATCGATCGGCGAGCTTTTAAAAAAGAGATGTGGCGCTTCTTTGCCGCATGTCGATTTCATCCTTCCTGACAGTATCCTTTGCGCCGCTGCGATGGCAGGCTTGACTCCACCAGGTAAAATCTTCCGAGAATTGTCGTTCGTGAAAATTTCTTCCATGTGTACTTCACATTTTTCCAGGGAGCCTAGCCTGGATGGACGCATCGATAACAGCTTCTCAATAGCCTCCTTTGACTACGAAGAACTTTAAGCATCACGCAAGGTACTCTCTCTAGCCTAGTACCTGTTTTCTTCATTCTTTTTCAATTTCTTTTTTTTCGGTCTTGTTGCTCACAGAACACGGCAAACGTTTAGTCTGCGATCTAAGATCATTCATGGGTGTTACGCATACGCTCGTCGCATGAACAGACAAATCCAAGATTCTCTTGGTGGAGGCGAATGCTGCCATGGTTAAGCATATAAGCATCAAGCAAGGTACTCTCTCTAGTACCAGTTTTCTTCTTTCTTTTTCATTTGATTTCTTTCTTGTTGCTCACAGAACACGGCAAACTTTTAGTGTGCGATTTAAGATCATTCATGGGTGCTACGCATACGCTCGTCGCATGAACAGACAAATCAAAGACTCTTGGTGGAGGAGAATGCTGCCGTGGTTAAGTTAAGCATATACATCAAGCTGGCTTTTTCTTTCTTGTTGCTCACAGAACACGGCAAACTTTAACTGTGCGATCTATAGATCATTCATGGGTGCTACGGCTATGCTCGTTGCATGAACAGACGAATCGCTTTCTCTCTCGATCGAGGCGAATGCTGCTGTCCTTAAGTTAAGCATTTATCATTTGTCTCAAACTGGCCGACTCTTTGTTGTCAACTTCTTCCGCTGTGCATGTTTTCTTGACTGGTTTTGTAGGAGCAAGTAACTCGCAGCTACGTATTTATCAATGCATTGGTTGAAACCTTTAGCTTTGTTTTTGCTTTCTTTACCGCTGAATGGTGTTTGGACTCGTGTTTTGTTTGTTTCCTATAAGCGTGCGGTGCATAGTCTTGCTGACCGGCCTCTCAGTTCGTGAAGAACACTTGTTATCTACAGTTGACAAACTGGTCCCACCTGGAGATGGTCTGTGTCCCGTGACGTTGTGCTATAAGACTGTTGATATGTTCTAATCCTGTGGTGGTGGCGGCTTTGACAGGATGTTGAAAGGAGGTCTACCGAGCAAACAAGTGGATCTTGCTGCTGCTGCTGCTTCTGCTACTACAAGCACTCTGCTCGAGATCAGCTAAGTTTTTCTTTTTACCCTCTTGAATTTCTAGGACTACGTTTCCTCCTCGTTTTGAGTACGTGTTGCTCCAAACGTTCCTCACTCCCCATCGTGTCACCGATCAGTTTTTGATTCCTCGGGTCCCACTCTCACCCGGCTTTTCCATCGTTCCTTCACACCACCCGGGCTTGTCTTTGCAATTCTCTTTTCAATTATTTGTCTCTATTCAGCTCCCTTTTCCACACCGTCTGTTGTCCGATAGAGCTGCCACACCGCCACTCTAGCTCGCACTCTCTTTCTCTCTTCCTCTCTGCTCTCGCTCTATCGAGCAAAAGCTCGCAGTCCTCGCACTGTATGTGTTTTCTTGCGGACATCGATAAATATGTACGTATGTGGTTGCCCACGTGCCGATGTAACCAGTTTAGCTCAACACCGATAATGGTCTTCAGCACCTCTAACCTCTGATTCCAATTCACCCTTGCTGTAGAGCTCTGTGCTTTTGAAAGGTAGGCTTTCGGCCTTTAGATGTGTGGAGTGTCTCACGGTTTTGCTACTTGATCGCAGGAGAATGAACTCTAGATACAATGGAGAGAATTCTGTCACTGTGGTTCAGCAGCACACTCGGTTTCTTCCTGCCTATTCGCTCAGGTTCTCGGAATGGCTCAAGCCTTACGTGAGTCAACCCGTCTCGCAGCTGCCAGTTGCTATTCCGTTCTTCGACGCTCGTGTCAAAACATTTCCTTGGAAGGCTTCTTCGTCGCCCGGGATCAAAACAGAAGCGCAGCAATCGGACACCCCATATGTTTCAGTGCAGGCCTCGCCATCCAGTTCCAAGGAGGAGACATTGCCTTTTCTGAGCCTGGGGCCTCGTGCTGATCCAAAGAAGGAAATCCTACCAATATCGACTCCCATCCTACAGCCTTTGTATCGGGAAGAAAATGAAGAAGAAGAAGAAGACCAGGATTCGACTAAAAGTGATGGAATTGGGAGCAGTAACGTAACAGTGGCACTAAGCATCGGTCCCCCAGTCCAGACAAGTGACGACGAGATAAAGAAGGCTTACGAAGTAGAGCGGCTTCAGCGGTGCAAAGGAAGGCTTTCCGAAGGACAGTACTGGATTCCCACTCCAGCACAGATTTTAGTCGGTCCAACACAATTTTCTTGTCCAGTGTGCAGCAAGAACTTCAATCGCTACAACAACATGCAGGTTCACTTCTTTTCGTTTCTTTCGAAACTGCAAGTTCAAGACAAACTTCTATGTCGTTTGTTTCTCTTCCAGATGCATATGTGGGGGCACGGTTCTCAGTATCGGCGGGGACCAGAGTCTTTGCGAGGTGCTCAGCCGACAGCCATGCTAAGGCTTCCATGCTACTGCTGCGCTGTTGGATGCCGTAACAACATCGACCATCCCCGTGCGAGGCCACTCAAGGACTTTCGGACACTCCAGACGCACTACAAGCGGAAGCACGGCATCAAGCCGTTTCCTTGCCGGAAGTGTGGGAAAGCGTTTGCTGTGCGAGGGGACTGGCGGACTCACGAGAAGAATTGCGGCAAGCTGTGGTACTGCTCTTGTGGCTCAGATTTCAAGCACAAGCGCTCCCTCAAGGACCACATCCGTGCCTTTGGAAACGGGCATGCTTCCTGCGGAATTGAGGAGGATTTCGACGGCCAGCACTCTGAGGACGATGACTGCTCCAACTCGCAGCAGTCCGCTGGCTCGCAGTGACGCAGGTAAGTCGGAGTTTAAGTTCCATTTCTAACGGTTTCGGTGGTTTTTACTCATCAATGGTTGCTCTCTCTTGCAGGAGGAATTGGCTGTAACTAGGATCTAATCGAAGGAAAGAAAGAAGAGTCGCAAAGTCCAGCGGTCTCCAGCGCACCAATGCGCTGTTGAAACGGAGCCAAGTTTCGTGCGGAGTCGAGCTAGGCTCTTCATGTGTTTCTTTTGTGTTGAGGTACTGTAAATATGACCAGTGACTTTTGTTCTCATCCTACAGATTTCTCAAATCAGATCAGCGCTGGGGGCCTCTTTCTCGCCCGTGAGAAGTGAAAACAACTCGAGGCTCACATGCTCCGTGTTGCCACGGTCGAGGACAGAAATCCCTGTAACTCGCCAGGAAAGAAACACTTTGATCTCTGGTTTCTAGGCTGCTCGATCGAGAGTGATTTTCTTTTTCCCTCCTCGATCCACTTCTAAAGTTTGTTTGCGATCGATCACCAGCGATTGCATTCTTTTTGTTTTCCTCGCAGACGAGACAAAGGCGGATTCAAGCAAAGAATATGGATCGTCGTGACGGATTTGGTCAGTTCTTCTCGACCACATCTTTTCCTCGCTTGTTTAATCGATCGATCGGTTGGTTGATTCTCTCTCGTCTAGTTTTGGTGCACGAACTCCGCAAAAGGAGTGGCATTTTCTCGAAGAACAATGGAACGTGTCTCTAGCTTGGTTCGAAGTGGGGGACAAGGACAAAAGATATGGACCTAAAGTAAAAGAGAAAGTTTATAAATGGCAAGTTTATCTTCGTTTCTCTAACAGGAAATCTTACAGGGAACGTGCTCCCGTTTTGTCGGTGCCCGCCGTTATGTTCACCGTGGACATCTGCCACGTGCCATGACCACATGGGCCCGCGCGTGAGGTCATAGATTCAGGCACACCGTACGGCCGACAAGCCGGCGGGAAGATCGCCGGCTGCGACACGTGGCAGTTGACTATAGATCCGCCTCGCGACCGGGCTTGCTCGGCGTGGTGGTATTATTTTCTTTGTTTTGTTTTTTCGGTTGAGAAAATATTGCCTTACAAATTAGTCTCGAAGTCAATTGTGTTTGACCTTCCTTCTCAGCTACATTGTGCTCCGGGAAAACGAGAAAAGCAAAAAAAAGAAAACGAAGGATACGAAGGACGTTGTCATTGTTGGTCGGTGCAATGAAAAAAAACATTACAGAGAAGAAAAAAAAAACAAACTCAAGTGAGTGAAGAATAAAGTACAAGACATTTCTTTGTTCTTTAGTTTCCTTGATCAAAAGTATGAAAGGCATTATTAAAAATACAGGCTCAGGATCTATATCAAGAGAAGAGAAGACTTCTTTCAGCAACATGAAATATATGGCAACGAATATATGATTGCGCATGGGGGCAAAGGAGAGAAAATAAAACAAGCTAAGTTTAAGAAAAAAATTCCAAAAAGAAAATTTCAAGAGACTATTCATTGGCTCTTTTGTTAATTTTTTTCGTTTTCTTGTTTTCCTTGCGTTCTGGACTTCTGACTGGACAAAAGAAAAAGCGATCAGATTTGCCTGCGTTGCCTGCAGCCGATAAAGCCGAGTTGCGAGACGAAGATCTCGCAAAATTTTCTTCTCCTTTTCCTTGGCAGCAGAGCACGATAGCTTGTCCTTGCCCTGCAGCCTGCGTTGCAACAATGCATGCACGCCTCTCCCTCTCTTTCGATGGCTTTCCCCTACTTTGCTTTTAAATTATGATATCGCCATGGCCAGGCTTCGCCTTGTTCTTTCTGGACATGCTCCTTAAAACTGGTGACTGACCCCTGATCGCATTCAATGCCAGCATCTAGGACGAAAACGTGGACGTGGATTTATTCTTGAATCGTGAAAGATCAGAGATCATCATCAAACAAAGCTCTTCTGTCTTGTTCAACTCTAAAGTTACGCGCTTGTAAACCTTTGGATAACCTTCTTGGGATTTGATCACTCGTTTTCACTTGCTGCCAAGAGCTCCGAGGCATGACGCAAGAGGAATACCCCCAGCAAGAAAAAAGCTACAAAAACTCAGGCCAGACTTTCATGGAACCGTAGCTGTGTCTCTTCAACCCGACTTGACATCTTGGCTTTGACAATTACCTCGCGTTGTTACAAAGCTTTCGCCTCCTCCAGAGCGCTCTAGCATAAATAGAAAGGCCTTACGTTGCTCACAGTGTCGCTGTCCATCGTCTTTGATATAAACACTATATATGTTGAAGGGTGGTGCTCTTGCAAGTCTTTTCGTCCCACCAAAGCCAGCATAATCAGTCCAAAGAATTTGCAGCCCAGTATATATGCCGCAGCGATCACGTCTCTTTCTCGCAGACTTTTGATCTGGAAAACATGGCTCTTAATCTTATCTGTGATCACAAAAACCAAAGATTATCACATCTTGAACATGGAGAGCATTCATCCCAGGAAAAAGCCGTCCCAGCACAGACAACGTATACTTCACGTAAGTTATGGCAAGGGAGCCTTCAACACATTCCCTTCTCAACAACACAAGCTCTCCAGCTAGCCGGCCCTGCCAGGTCCACACCACATCCATCAATCAAACAGGTACTTTAATCACATGGGGACCACTCGCTCACACCGATCCAGATCACCCAAGTTATTGACTTGACAAAAAACATCGTATCAAATGATCCTGGCAGGAATTTTCTCTTCATCACAACTTCGCCTGCCGATTCAAGTGTGGAGAAGGACCAACTTGGTCTACTGCTTGTTTTTCTTTTTTTCTAATACTCGTTCGAGGTCTTTTTTCTAGAAGTGCACATCTGGTCAGGGCGGGGTGCGTACATATATACGCAGAACATATTAAAGATATTTTGCCTTTCCATCCATCAAATACTTAACGTTTTGGCTCGAGTTTGAGCCCAAATTCCTCATATTGAATTTGTCTGCGTCACAAGTTCCACCCACAAAGTAGAAACAAGCACGTCAATGTTTTCAGCCATCATAAAACTTGTATTTAAATTACACTACGTTTCAAAGCAGCCACTGAAAATACGGAGTAAGAGGTACAAGAGAGAGTTAAAAGTGTTTAAAGGAAGTTAGTGTCCTGTGAGCTTTCCATTTCAATCATGTTTCAACTTGAAGAAGCAATCACCAGTTTTCAATCTTTTGGTTTTGTGTGAAACATAATTTGTAAGTTGACTTCTCCAGGATCATAGCGCTCAGATAATAGTTGGAGCATACTCGCATGATGCGTAGCCTGAGAATGCAGTACATGCAATCGTTATCAATCACGAGGACAAACATCAGTAATTCCTTTACGATGTACTTAAAATTCAATGCAGCTCTTTCACTCAAGCATGGAGCACACCTCTCAGAAGTAAAAGAACACAAAGAAGAAAAAAAGAAAAGCATTCAAAGAGAAAATAAGGAGAGCTTTGATCTTACTTGGATCGCTGGAAGTTAGAAACGCAGCCCCGTTGAAAACACAGCTCCCTCCGTTCGTCCTCTGGAAAAAGTAGTACGCGTTGAAAACGATCGAGGCGTGAGAGATTGTGGTGTTTGGCAAGAAGCAAGGTTGGCCGGGATCAGTGATCGAGCTACAATTGACACCACCCGGGCCGCAAGCAAAATCTATGCCACCCTGGAGCTGGCTAGTCGAAGCACTCTGGTTAGCAACGCACCATAGCTTAGCAGTACCTGGTAAAGGCTCGGGTGGCGGCAATGCCATGGGTTTGTAGTCACCATCGCTAAGCCTGCCAGTAAGATCGATCTCGTACTTTTGGATCGCGGTGGAACCATTGTCTGCAATCGCAAAGAGTCCCCAGTTTCTCTCGGTGACCGGGCCGGGTTTGAGATTCTCATTGAAGAGCGCGAAGATGAAAGCTGGGATTTGCTGGTGTGGTCGCTTTGGAGTGCCGAGAGGAGGCTTCGTTGCGAGCTTCTTGGCCAGGCGGCGATTGTAGAGCGCGGCATTGTAAAAGTTGGCGCCTCGCTCGTCGATTCCACCCTTGGTTGGCCACCCGGTCTCGGCCAAGCCGAGCTTCACGCTCTCGTGGCCGAGCTTGGCCATGGCGGCGGTGATCGAGTCGAGCTGGATGTCGAGGAGATTGTCGTAGACGAGGCCATTCCCGGGGTCCCGGTATGGAGTTCCGGATCCATTGAAGAGCGCAAAGTCGATGGGAACGGTGGCGCGGTTAAACTCCCAGGTGAAGAAGGGATACGCGTCCACGAAGAAGGGCGAGTTTGTGGAGTGCAGAAACTCCAGCATGGGGCGGATAATGGGCTCGGCTATGTCGTCCCTGAAAGTTCCATTGGAGGGAGGGAAGACGTAGCCCTGGAGAACTAGTAGGGCGTGAGGAGTGCTAACTTTGATCTTGCGATGGAGCCCGAGCTTGGCAAGAGATCTGTGGATGTTCTTCATGGCCGGCACGAGTTTTGGCCATGTGGATTGCCGGATGCTAAAGTCCGAGAGAATCTCGTTCCCGATGAGAACCGTCCGGATTCTAGTGAATGGGTAGTACGCCGTGACGTTGGACTTGACCCATTCGTCCGCGAAGCTCTGGCTGGATGCTACGCTCGGGATCTGCTGGTTGGGCACCATGACCGTCACTTTGACGCTCGTGTTCGCCAGGGCGGAGAGGATCGAAGGATTTGCATCGTAGATCTTGACTCTCCCGAGTTTGAGCTGCCGGATGAGCTCCACGGACTTGGGCGGCGCGGGGAGATTGTTGCCAAGCTGACCATAGTTCACGCCGATTGGGTAGTAGTGGTAGCGATGATTGTGAACTTTGGAAGATCATGGATGATGTTAGATCCAGAGATCTTGACTACTTTAGATCCTAAAAAATGAAGCTCACCTGGGATTGCCTCACTTGGTCCGAGTAGGAGCAGCAACAGTAGCAAGGCTGTGGCCATTTTCTTCTTTCCTTGGCTAGTGTTTGGTGGTCCAAGAAATTGAAACGGCCCTAAACATTTTTTAAAATAATTATAAATATAATCAACGCTGTATATTTTATTTTGTAAAAAAATATTTGTCAATAAAATCATTGATCAGTTTGATTAAAAGTAACCAAAGGTAAGAATATAATTAAGTCAGGCATCTCTTGAAATCTCAGCTTCACATCAAGCTCTCAATATCCATTCCCAAGTAGTTGGAATGTTGGAGCTGATTGTCACAAGCTTATAGGAATTCAAGTGGAGACTCTAACATGTAGAAATGCACCAGAAGCAATGTAAATCTGTAAATTACTCATCACCAAAACTGCATAGAACTTGTCAAACAAACCCGTGTGAGAAATCCACAGAAGGTGATCGCCCACAGTAGAAGTACCATCCTCCAATCCATGCTCATTGTAGAACAGATAGCACTCACGCCTCCAACGAACAAGCTGTATGCAATCATTTTCTTGTGACCCAAAAAGAGCATATAGAATCACTTCATACATTCAAATTTACTTTGAAAGGCATAGGGGAACTTACCTGATGAGAATATGGGCACCAAGAAACAAAACTGTCCGAATCCTTTAGTTAATTGAGGTGGTTAAAGTATGACAAGCATCCACAACCCGTATGCAGTGAAGAAATGAATGACAAGATTCATCAAGAACTGGCACCGTATGATCTCTTCTTACAGATCTTTTCAAATTCTTTGGTAAACTGTTTTCTGTTGCCTTGACAAGACTCCCTCAAAGCTTCAAAAGCTATGGAGGAGGGGTTGTTAAAGCCAACTGATGAGTATGATATTGGTGCTTCTTAGGCATCCAGAATAATTTGATCAGCCCAAGTGTTGCCCAGAAGATTACCAATGGGAGACTTTCACAG